TATATATATATATATATATATATATATATATATATATAGTATATATATACTGCCTGATGTCGCCACCTGGATTTAACTAAGCAAACAGGTACAAGCCTCCTATTGGATAATTACTGTATGGGTGATTATCTTTCAGCTGCAACAAGTTACTTAACCCCAACTGGTGCAATGAGTTTCTTCTCATTTCGTAAACAACCTTGTTGAAAGACACATCGCGTGGTTGTGGAAAAGATGTCCGTCTGTTTGAGAAGGGTCAGACCATTGGCATCAAGTAGAGAAAACATCTAAGGAGATTGCAGAAACTACTAAAATTGGGTTAAGAACTGTCCAACGCATTATTAAAAACTGAAAGGATAGTGGGGACCCATCGTCTTCAAGGAAGAAATGTGGCCGGAAAAAAATCCTGAATGATCATGATCGGCTATCACTTAAACGTTTGGTGAAATCAAATTGAAGAAAATCAACAGTAGCACTCAGGGCTATGTTTAATAGTGAAAGTAAGAACATTTCCACATGCACAATGTGAAGGGAACTCAAGGGATTGGGACTGAACAGCTGTTTAACATTAAGAAAACCACTAATCAGTGAAGCTAACTGGAAAAAATGCTTCAATTTGCTAGGAAGCATAAAGATCGGACTCTGGAGCAATGGAAGAAGATCATGTGGTCTGAAGAGTTCAGATTTACCCTGTTCCAGAGTGATGGGCGCATCACTGTAAGAAGAGAGACAGGTGAGGTGATGCACCCATCATGCCTAGTGTCTAATCGTCAATGCAAGATCTTGGAGAAAAATCAATACAACACTGGATGGAGATGGATCTTGTGACATTGCAGAAACTTATCGAGACAATGCCACAGCGAATGCACGCTCTAAATCAGGGCTATTCAACTAAACTGTTCAGAGGGCCACAGTTACTGAAAGCCAGCAGCTCAGGGGCCAAACTTCCAGCAGTTAAAGTCATTATGTAAATAAACCAAGTATTACAATAATCTGTTACCTTTTAAATGTGTTTATTTTGTTGCATTGAATCATAAAAGCAATAAACAGAAGCCACAATCCAAACCCAGAACCAAAAAAATTATATATATATATATATATATATATGTATAT